ACTTTTACCAAATGCTTTTATTCTTATTTATTATAATATACTCTTTTCTACCATAGTAAGGATTTGAAATGATAATTTTTGCCTTTTCTACCATGATAACTATTGGAAAATCTTTTATTTACTATAGTAGTGGTTTAAAGATATACTTTACTTCTAATTGCTATGATAGGCACTCTTCAATCATAGAAAGTGTTTAAACAAGTTATATTTGAAATAAATTGTCTTTTAATGAATTAAAAACTGGTTTATAATTAAGGGATGTTATAGCTCTTACATTATGAAGAGGGGTTACTTGCAACTCTGCAAATCTAGGTCAGTAGTATTTGATGAATCTTTTTGAAATTTTCTTTGGAAAATCACCCTACCTCATAAACAACTTTATTTGGAGTAGTTGTTACATTGTGCACTTCCAATTGGAGATATCCTTAGACATCATCATTTAGATGTTCATTCACATTGTGCGTTTCATTGTGTGGAATCAAAATCTTTAACCCATCTTTTTGGGAGTTATCATTATGTTAAATCAATTTGGTTTGGTGCTTTGCCTATTCATTAATCTAAGATAGTGGCTGTCGGTTTTTCTACTTGCCTTGTCACAACTCTTACCAAGTTACATAAGGATGGTTTGGATTTTCAGCTTAGAAGTCTTATTATCTTTTTTGAACTTGTATGGCGAAAAAGAAATCTTGCATTTCATAAAGGAATTATTTGTCTCCCAAAAGAAGTGATTAAGGAATTTCAACAATTGTGCTATTATCTTTTGGAGGTTTATGCTTGGCCTGTTATTGACAAAAGGAATAATAATGCTTCAAGAGTTTGTGATTCTATTATGATGTGGACTAGATTTCCTTTTGTAAATCCTCAACAGATTTGTAACATAAGGATGAAAAAATTCAAGCAGTAGCATCTTTTGCATTGTTATAGTCTTCATCAATTTTGAGTTCACGTGAAGCTTCATTTGGAAATGGTTTTCTTTCACTGAGCTAAATTGTTTTAATCTTTAAATGAGGTATCCATTCACTATGATCTTTCCTTTCAATGTTATCGAAGGAAATTATTCCACTGCCTTCTTCTGAAGCACTGCTCTCTTTTATTATTGGTGCAAGATATTCATATGCTTGCTAACTTCTTTATTTCTATTTCTTTCACCTCTTGTTTGAATGGGAAGAAAAGTTGAAAGGGAAGAAAATGAAGAGAAGAAAAGACTGAAAAGAAAAATTATCTCTTATTATGTTTGAATGAAGAGAAAAAAATAAAAAGAAAAGAAAATGAACAAATATTACAATGACTATAGTACTCTTGTGTTAAAATATATCAAATTCGATATAATTTTCTCTACACAAATAAATTGAAGGAAAAATTTATTAAAATTAATTTCATCAAAATAATTTAAAATCAAATTATTTATAAAAAAATGTATTTTCATGTTATTATATTTACAAAACAAATAATTTAATAAAAAATATATTATTTTTTCTATTTAAAAAAATAAAAGTGAGTAATTTATTAAATTTAAATATAGTAATATAAATAAAAAATTATAAACTCATTTTACAAAACTAGAATTCAATAACAAAAGAGAAAAGAGAAATAAAACTAGATTTACACACCAATTGGTGTTAATGTTGCTTTTTTGTTTTTTTTTTTTATTTTGGGTAAGAAAGGAGGCTAACCCCCCCCCCCAAAAGAAAAAACTAATAACAACCTATAGCACATCCAATATCAACAAAAATAAAATCTCTTAGGTTATGTTTGGTACATTAAAATTGGGTCCAAAAGAAATAGAATTAGAATTGGAATCATGCTTTCAATGGTTTGGTGTGCATGAATTTAAATTCTTTATGGACTTCAATTCTATCAAAATACCCAGAATTCAATTCCACCTCTATTATGATGGAATTGCCACAACTTCATAGAATTGTCATAAGTGCCCCACTCTCTCTCTCTCTCTCTCTCTCTCTCTGCTTGACACCCTACCCTTTACCTTTCACCTTTGCTGACCCTGCACCTTTGCTGTCAACCCAACAACGTCTTGGCCAGACGACTACCTTCCTCCGACTAAGACCTTGGCAAGACAGCCACCTTCCTCCGACTAAGACCTTGGCAACATCTTGACCATACGGCTGCTCATCGTTGTTTCTCCTACTTTTAAAAGCATCTCAGCCATCATCAAATCCGGGTCTTAATGTTGCAGCCTTATCAGCCTTCATCCCTCTATGTTGATAAACTCTTCCCCTTCCCCCTCTCATCATCTCATCCACATTTCTCATAACTCAGCAAACAATTGAGTAGTTATCACAGACTCTACAATTAGTTCGATTATTGTTGAGGCTGTGATTGTGGAGGAAGTTTCTTGATTTGGTCCTTCAGATTCGATCCTTGAGTCAAACAAGCAGTATAAATTGAACTTAAGAGGGAAGATGAAATTAAAGGCACATGTTCATTCTTCAAATATGCAATTTGATGGTGTGTGTTAATGGAGTTTTTTAAAATTGATGTTATGTTTCAAATGGTGATGGCTGAGTTTTTGTTTTTATTTTTTATAAAGCATTTTAGTCTTTATCTATTTTAAATACATATATTTATTAATATTACATTTAGATTCTATCTTCATACCAAACATACATTTATAATTCAATTCTATTTCGATTCCAATTCCAATTTCATTTTTGATTCCATCAAAAACTCTTTCATCATACCAAACAAGGCCTTAGTAACAAAGGAGCTACATGCCAAACCATTAAATCATCCAACCAAATGCCAAACCTAGCCAATGTATCAGCACATTAGTTACTTTGCCGACAAACCACCTTTACCTTTACTTCCCGATCTCTTTTTAACCACCCACATATCCTCCTTACCAATTTGCTACCATCCTTCTTCTCTATCTGCAAAATTTGTTTAAATAAATTTTCTGCATCAGTTTCAACTTCTAGTTTCTTTATTCCCATAATCTAGGCCAAATCAAGACCATAAACCATCCCCTAAGCCTCAGCCACCTCAGCATTGCACTAGCCAACCTTCCTCATAAATCCAGCCACTCACTTCCCTTCATGATCCCAATAACACCCCTACACCTAGCAAGCCCAGGATTGCCCCTTGAAGCTTCTTAGTATTTAATTTCACCCATCCTACCAAAGGTCATACCCACCTCCGATATATCCTCACCCCTACTACATCTCCTCAATTCTAATTGTAGACTACTTTTAGCAGCTTCATTCACTGCCATATCTAATATACACCATCTAGCATTGAGCACACTCTTCTTTCTACTGCTATTAAACAAAACATTGTTCCTTTCCTTCCATAGAATCCAACAACCAACCCCAAAAATAACATGCCATTCAACCCCCTTGCACCCTCCTACCCTTATTACTCAAATTCAATTCAAGCCAGTCGATCAACTGCAAGTCGAAAAAAAAAAACCCCACCACTACTCACATTAGTTAAAGATTGCCACACCTCCTTGACACCCTTACAATCCCAAAGAGCATGTAAAGCAGATTCAACAAGATCACAATCAGCACAATTAATAGGAGCTCCAAACCTCTTATGCCTCAACTCCCTTGTGTGTAGCCTGTCGGCATTAATGTGGCTTTGTCCTATCATCACTAAGGAATGGAATTAGATAGACTGGAGAAATTGAAGAAAACAAAGAGGCCAACCAATGAAATCAAATGCAAAATTGTTGAAGAAGAAGAATTGGATTTGAGGAAGAAAAGTGATGCTGCCGTGAGGAACAACAAGCTTGGGAGGAAGAGATGAGTCTCCAGCAGAAGGGCAAGAACAAAAATGCGTGGACAGCTGAAGGTGGAACAAAAATTTTATTATCAAAATTTCTCCACTTGTGAAAAAATAATAATTTGATGAGTCTCATATTTTATTTTCTTTCACTTTTCCTTTCTCACCCAAACAAAAAGAAGGTTAGTTTCTCTTTTGTTTACTCTTCATGGTAGCATTAATGTTTCTCAGAACTGAAGGCTCTTTAATCCTCCTTTCCCCTTATAATTATTGCACACTTATATATTGTAAACTTGTTTCTTTTTATTAATTAATCTTTTTATATATAAAAAAATGTTTGTTCAAAAGATTTGTCATCGTAAATGGGAAGATTGATATTTTTGCACCTATGACACTAAAATTTTGAGTCTTTACCATATTTTAATAAATTTACAATACTCATTCATGAATAAGTCCTTTATTTAGAACTTATTCATATTTCTTAATTAAATAAATTTTATAATATTAATATTATCAAAATTAATCATTTTATTTTATGTTAGAAAATTCAAAACTGTGTGTTAAAAGTGCTGGTCAACGTGTATATTTAAATAATTATTCTGATTAGAATAAAGTTAAATTAGATGTCATTATGACTAGTGATTTAGGATTAATAAAATTAACAGGATGCACATGTAAAACAAGCTTTAGTTTTAGTTGGGGTTTGTATTAGTGTTTTATTTTAATAATGATATTTAGAGAAAATTAATCATTTCACCACTATAGTTTTAATATGATCATAATTCAGACTCTAAACTTTAATTTGTTAGAACTCATTCTCTATAATTTTGACTCATTGAAACTATGTCCTTATATATTAACTAAATAACTCAATTTCTATAGTTTTAGTGGTTTAAAATGTTATTTTCTAAACTTCAACAAATAATTTTTGTTCTTGTAATTTTACTTTTTAAAATATATAGATCAATATAGTAAAATTATAGGGATTGTGTTGTACTAAGTTTGGTTGAGTTTTAATCAAGTTAAAACAGTAAAATTTGAATTACATCAAATCAAAATTGGAACTATTGAGTTTTAACTAATAATCAAAATTGGAATAAATAATTAATTTTTTTCTAATGTTTAAATAAATAAACCAGCTTTATTTTTTGGCCAAAATAAATAAATAAATAAATGAACCAGCTTAAATATCACGTAATGCGCATGAACACGAAAACATGTCCGGTTATTACAAAATACAAATACAAAGCGGAGCCGTGCTTTCTTCTTGCTTTCTCTTCGGATACCATTTCCGTAATACCCTCTCACTTCTGCCGAACCATCGTCGTCTTGCTTTTTCCGCTTTGATCATCTGATTTTTCATCTTCGGCTTCTTTCCGCATCTGAGTACCATAAGGTATCCGTTATGTTTTTGAGGAAGCTCGTCACTTTTCACTGAATATTTCATTGCTCTTTAATGAATAGAGGTCATTTTGAAAAAAGGGTTTTACTGTGATACTCACTTTGAATAGAGGAATGATTTTTCATATTTACTTTCCCAATGTATAATTAGTTAAAAGAGATTTCTCAGAGAAAATTTATTGAAAACGTAGAGGCTAATCAACCAAGCTGGACTTTCTGCCTGAAAATGGAAAGGAAATGAAATAAAAGTTTCAGTGAGTTTAATAGACTACTTTTTATGGTCAATGGAAGCGTTAGAATGAACAAAATTGGCTTTCCGGCAATTAGATTCTAGCTTCCTGATGTTAAGGTTACTTTACACACACTTTACTTTCATGTCCAAGGCTTTTCTTTACTTTGAGTCTTTTGTGAGCTTGGCATTCACCTCCGAAGGAGGGGGGTTGTTAAATGGCATTCTTGGCTATTTTTTTTACTCCATCAATGACAACTTATTTCATAATTGATTTCACTTCATTTACAACTTTGTGCATTGACGTCATTAGAATATGAAGATAAAGTGTGTAATGATTTTTGATAGCTGGTTTGGATCTAAGTAGGAAAGTCAATAATTTCCACTTATTACTTTTGTATTGACTTATTTGCATGCACCATTCCCTTTTACATGTTTCCTTATAAAGTCTGATTAAATTCATTGTTCTTGTTTGGGACTTGAGTTAATTTAGATCTGATAGGTGCCGACAATTAGAAACAACACTTGGTGAATCCACCAGTTATGGATACAATTGATTGGAGAGATGAATTGCAACCTCACTCCCGCAGAAGAGCTGTCAAATCAATGTAGGCATATATTTCATTGTATATAACCTCCACAATCTTTATAGTTTTTTCTTTGATGCTGCAGTTGCTCTGAAATGGAAACTGCCATCAAATTTCCCTGGTTTCTCATATAAAATTATTTCGATCATACAATATGTATGCATGCAAAACGAAGGAGCTAGCTATAGTAGACTCATGCAATTGTGTACGATTGCCCAGCTTTTACCCTTCACTTGGATGGGTAGAAAAATAGGGAGGAAAGGAAAGGAAACTAGCAGGAAAAACTCCCAAAAATAGTAAAAAAATTTACTACTTTTAGAAAATTTTGTTTCTAGTTTTCTCTCCTTATTTTCTTCCTACTTTTGCTTCCATCCAAACCAAGCCCTAACTCTATTGCTTAATTCCCTATATGGATATGATTCAATGGTGGTTAATATTTGTTAGGAAAGTATAGAATTGGTCATTGGCAGCATCTTTTTGTGTAATCCAAATCACAATTTGCTTTCTGTGTATCTTTCAAATAAAAACTAAAAGAAAAGAGAAAATTGAAGTTACATATTGATCATGTATTTGAGGTGTAGTGATTATAGCTCTTTAGTCAGTAGCTCACTGCAATGGAACCTGATGTTATGCCACTTGTCTAGCATGACTGCTTTCTTGTAGTTCTGTTGTAGAAATGCCATAGGAGCTCCTGTGGGCCTGTAACTTGCAATATCCCTTGACTCATTCTTGGACAACCAAATATTTCATGATTCAGTATTCGTTAATGATATCTTGAGAACAAGAAAGGATCTATATTTTCCCGCACTCTTGATATAGGCGAAGAACAAATGAAACCTTAGAAGATGAAGAGAAGATTGAAGGATGGCTTATTGATGATCAGTATGGGGATTTTGTATTTCATGAGGAAGAGGAACTGGTTCACATATATCAGGATAAAGCTTAACCTCAAAAATCATGCCAAACATTTTCGCAAGTCAGGTACTTAGTATGATAATTAATGGATGATTATCATGTTTTTTGTGATGTTTGTTGTTGCTGTTATCATTCTAGCGGTTTATATGCATATATATATATATATATATATAGTCACGACCAATTATATTTTGAATTTTTGGAAATTGTCCACTGCATGAACAGGAATGCAGAATGCTAAGTGCTATGTCCTATATGCTACGGCATATTGGAGCCTTTATTTTTACTTGAGGACTACTTAATGTCCTCAGTCCTCACCTTCTTGTTGAATTGTGGAAGAATTGTTGTTTTGATTTAGTAGAATGGATGCAGTAAAGGAATTTCACAATTTTGATGATGAGGATGAACTGCAAGAACTTGAAAAATTTTCTCTAAGTTTTGAGCAAAAGGCTTTTGCTGGTGCAACTAGCAGAGTATGCTGCTCGAAGTTCAAATCTCAAAGTTACTGGGAAAAATCACAACTAAGAAAGGAGTCTTGGAGAAATGTATTCACTGTTGAAGATCAATGAATTCTGACTTAACACTACAATTCCTGAAATCCTAACTGTCACACCCTACACTTTCAAAATGTGATCGGGCTAGAATATAAGGAAAGCTCATATTCTATGAGCCCAAACCCAAAAAAAAAAAAAAACTTGTAACATTTTAATTATCCAATCTAATCACATAATCATCATTTGTATTTAGCAAGTACTAATAGTAACAAAATATTCAAGCATTGCTATAGAAATTTTGGCAAAGTTTCCTTGTAAGTTAGACTACTTGAAATCTCTACAAACTGTTAAAAAGAATATCCAAGCAGTAGTGTATATATATGTGGAACACTGTATTTTGTTCAGACATTTTTTAAATTTAACAAAAATAAAAATAAATTCAACCAAAAAATATAAAAATATGAAAATAAAATTTAATCCTTTTTAGAATTATATTTTCAAACAAAAATCTCTAATTAATTGGGTTTAATTTTATTGTAGGTAATTTTTTTTGATTAGTATTTTAGTTCAAAAGAAAAAAAAACAAAAAAATATAAAAATATGAAAAATAAATTTAATCCTTTTTAAAATTATATTTTTAAAAAATATTTATTTGATCCAAAATCAAATTTTTAAGTCCCTTAATCCAATTTCAAAAATTAATAAACATAATTAAAAAAGAGTTATTAAAATTAAAACATGTAAACTCAGTTTGGTCCTTCGTGTGTCATGCACATTCCTGCACAAAGAAGAAAAAACAGAAGAAGCAGAAACAGAAACACAAAAACACCAGCAAAGGAAGCAGACGCAAGAATAGCAAAAGCAGACAGCAAATAGAAACGAGGTCAGACACGCCAGTCGAAAACACACAAAGAAAAATGCAGACAGCAAATGAACACAGAAGAAATGCAGAAAAAGAAGCAAAACAGAGCAAAAGGAGCAGCAAGCAACTAGAACAAGCACACACACTTTTGACCAGCAGAAGAAAAGAAACAGAACCAGAGCTGCATGCATGCATGCAGCAGACAAAAACACAGAGAAAAGCTTCACTTTGTAGAGGAAACATATGCACGCACGAAAAACAGAGCAGAAAACTGAGGAAGGAAAGAAGCATAAAAAGGCAGGAGGAGTACAGAAAATAGGAGGAAGAGAGACTGAAAAAAGAGAGAGCTAGAAACGCAAGAGAGAGGCGAGAACGAAGAAAAATGGAGGGACCGAAAGGAAAGGGCACAGAAGGAAAACTGGAAAAAAAAACAGAGCATAAAAGAGAGAAGAAAAACGGAGGGACCGAAAGGAAAGAGCACAGAAGGAAAACTGAAAAAAAGAGCATAAAAGAGAGAAGAGAAACTAGGGACAAAGAAGAGAGAGAGACGGAGAGTGAGGAAGCACAGACGCAGCACAGAGAAACTAGACGAAAATAAAAAACAGAGCACGGAGGGAGAGACCGAGAGCATAAAAAGAGAACGAGAAAGCAGAGATGGAGAAGGCAGGAGGAGCATCCGAAAAGGAGAGGAAAGGACACAAGAGGATTAGAATCAGCAAGAGAGAGAGAGCAAGCAAGACAGAAAAAATGGACCGAGAGAAAAAAACTGGATAGGGGAGAAAGAAGAACCAGAGAGGGCATCGAAGAATTTGTGAAACTATCTACCCAAGTCTGCCTCTCCTCGTCCTCATTAGCACCTAATAGTGTGTTTTCTATCTTCACTTATGATTCTGAAATTATTCTGGAGGTTTTGTTTTCTTTTATACCTTGTCAAAACTATGTGAGTTATAATTAATTTTCACAAATTATAAAATGAAGATATTAAAGTGACTAATTGCTGATCCACCTTACTTTCCTTTAAGCTTATGTGATTGTTGTTTTAAAAAAAAAATATTGTTGCTTTATTTATTTATTTTTTTTCTTTTTGAATATCTTTAAAATATCAAGTCAAATATCTAAGATAATATAGCCAAAAAAAAAAAAAAGAAATGGTCCACTCCCAATTTGTTGCTCCCATGAATTTTATATTCGAATGAATTATTCTTGAATATGTGTATTCCTTAGTGCCCGAATGGTAAACATAACTATTATTTTTAAATTTTGCTATGTGAGATTTTAAGAATCCCCATAAGTACTGAGAATGATCTCATATCATGTAACTTAATAAGATTTTATATGTATGAAGATTCAACTTGTATATTAAAATGGGTTCTAATAGCTCACCATTAAAATTAACTCTCTTTTTATAATTTAAATCAATAAAATATTTAAGTCTTATGTGAGATTTTAAGAATCTTCATAGAGAATTAAATTAAATGCATTATCGTGTAGGATAATAAATTCTCACAAATATCATGATCATCAATTTAAATAAATAAATAAATTTTTATAAATAAAATAATAAACGTTTTTATAATATTAATTAATTAAATTAATAAATTGAATTATAATCACATTTTCTAATTAGATCTTTTGGTCACATGAAATTTTTAAAACTCCGTAGACGTTTAAGATAATCATATTACCGCGTGAGTTAATAAAGCTTCGCAGGTATAATTATTAAGATTTCTATATTTAAAAATATAAGTTATATAATTACCCATTAAAATATATTTAAAGTTAATATTATTTAATTCTTTTATTCTGTGTGACTTTGAATCTCTCCAGATATTTAGAATAATCTTATATCATATAAATCAATAAGTGTTTACAGATATAAGAGTAAAACTTATATGTTAATATGGATTCCAGAGGCCCACAATTAAAATTAACTCTCTTTTTTATAATCTAAATTAATAATTTATTTAAATCCCACGTGAGATTTCAAGAATTTTCATAAAGACTTAAATTAGTCATATTATCGTGTGGGATAATAAGTCCTCGCAAATATAATGATTTTAAATTTTTATAATAAATAAATAATTTTTACAAATAATTACAAATAATTATATAATGCACAAATTAAAAAATTAAGTAACCAAATTAATGTATTTAAATTGTAATCACATTTACCGATTATATCTTTTAGTCACGTGAAGTTTTGAATCTCTGTAAACTTCTAAGATAATCGTATTACCATATGAGTTAATTAGACTTTACAAATATAACAATTAAGTTTTTAAAATATATATAAATTATATATTAAATTAATTAAATTAAAAATATATTTAATTCTTTTATCATGTGAGATTTTAAAATTTCTACAGATATTTAGGATAATCATATTACCGTATAAGCTAATAAGGCATTACAGATATGATGATTAATACTCTTTAAAAACATATATATACATGCTTAAACAAATTATTACTAACACTCAAAAATATAAATAAATTAACTTGTTAAATTCTTTTATTGTGTGAGATTTTAAAATCTTTGCAGATATTTAGAATGATTACATTATTGTATGAGATAATAAAGCTATGCAAGTATAGCAGTTAAATTCTCAATCATAAAACATAAAAAAAAATTTAAACTCTTTTCTTTTTTTATTTTAAAAATTTAAAAATTGAGAAAATAATTGAAACTAAATTACTTTTTATAATTTAAAACACACATATCAAAATTTTAAAAATTATTTTATTTTTAAAATGGTGAATTACTTCTAATTAATTTCTCTTCAAAAAATATTTTCACCAACAACTTTTAAACTCAAATTACGTGAACTTTGATCTCCATCACAGAGTACGTAGGCCTCAGAGTTTGATTCTAAATCAAGTTCTTCCTCATAAATAAATAAATATTTCTCACTCAATTATCATCATTTTTATATCAAACACATGAATATAAAAGAGATAATTAAAATAATTATAAAACTATATAATATAGCACAATAAACTTCAGTAATCGTTCTTACGAACGGGTGTTATGAGATGCTTAACACCTTCCCACACTCAATCAACTCCCGAACCTATTTTCTGTTTTCGCAGACCATCTTTATCCTTCTTTAATCGATTTTTCAAGATTTCTCTCAAAATTTTAGTGGCGACCCTCATTCCATTCAATTCCCACCTCAAAGGCATAAACCTCCACTTCCGCGCCGTCTGCGTCTCATTTTTCGAGTGCAACAATATACATATAAACCAAAATACTTTAAATAAAAATCATTCCTATATGATTCATGGAGCAACTTTAAAACAAAAACAAAATATTTAAATATTTACATTAATTTACAATGTAAACAAAACAACAAAATACTTCTTATTTCAATGAGTCTCATGAGATTTACTGGAGGTAAGTCCACTATTATTATCTGAACACCAAAAATTCTTTCAATAAATAACATTTCCAAATAATAATAATAATAATATAAATGATAATAATAAACATATAAAAACAAAAAACAAGTAATTAATTTGATTATCAATGGTATTAGAAAATATCAGCATAATCTATATTGAAAAACTTGTTTGTCATTAGGACGTAAACAAAATGAATAATAGATATGAACACACAATTCATGAGAATAAATAACATAAAGTGTGGCTAGAGGCCACAAAAGCAAGCACAAGTATAAAGCTCACGAATAACAAGCGTAGGCTATTCCATGAAATTTCATCCTCCCTTCCAAGTGAGTTGAC